ATGACAGATTTAAAGTCAACAAGAACCAATCAACATCAAGGTGTACAGGACAAGCTGTGAATCACATGTGGAGAAATTCAAACATTTCACCTCTACCCGAAGTTTGTGCTGATGATGTCGTTCAGAAAGACGATGAAAGCTCCACGACTAAACCATCGAGCTCAGAGAACAAAACTCCATCAAAATCACCCACCCACCTGAGCTACAAATCTTCTCCACCATCTCGAAATTCTTCATATTTTAATTCATATCATCTTCATTATGATTGGTAGAATGAATTAAATCATTTTTCTATTGTAGTGAATGAGAACACAATTAGAGACAATCAAATGTATTTGAACTCAAAATTACAGAATATCTTGATAAAATATGAGAACCATACAGTAATACGTCATTTGTAAACTATCCATCAATTGTCTCAAACTGAATTGCCCCTTCGTTCTCACACCGATTGCTCTCTGTACTTGTTTTCTTCTTTTAGATCTTGTTAACCTTCTGCCGCCAGACATTTCACTTTTGATTGATGATACATCACTCACTTACTTCCTTACGCCTGTTACTCCCAATGGAGCATAGACCGCCGACCAGCATTGTCCAACCCACTCTGTCCTGGGACTTCTTTTCTAGTTCTATCCAGTTTTTGTTCATTCTTCTCCTGTCTGTCTCTATTTCTCCACCTGTAGCTCCTTCGGGGGCTACTGCTGGTCTCAAACCCTGGTAAAGGAGGAGGGTTGGTCATGGGGTTAGCGACCCCATTCCGTAGAAAACCAACTCCCTAAAAGAACGCTAAACAGAAAAAAATTATTGGTGATACATACTACTACTTATATCTATCGACATCAGTAGCATACATCACACTATAAGCTTAATCCAGAAAATCTGAACTGTTATTTTAAACCTTCTTGAAGTGTAAATAAATTCAATGCTTGACATGGATATGTTAACTGTTTCAACCATATTTCAATAAATCTATTTTCAAGTTTGACAGTTTCTATTCAACTACATATCAATAAACCAAATATTCAAGAAATGAATTCAATATGAAATATTCTATGTTGGAATAACTTTGAATACTTAAATTATATATAGTTAAGATCATTAGTCAATTAAAGCTAGACCACCGTGGAAAATCTAGAATCACTGGACGGCCGTTTCGTCTTATTGTGCGACTCCTCAGCAGTGCGCATCCACGATTCCACCTCGCAAGAACTTAGGACCTATCAGTCTCGCGCCAGTGCACTTAACCGATAGACCATTAAGCCGGCATCTTAAACTTAAATTATAGTTAGAAATAAGTATAGGATTAAAAATGTTGCGTTTAGATCTATCAATATGTAGGGATGTATTGTAACTTGTGGTCGAGTGGATGCCCTATTATTGTATAACGTGATAGCACCGTCAATTAAAGAGCAGCGAATTATCGATCGGACCAATGATACACGGAAACCGTATGAGCAGTCTAGAGTATTGATCGGTCCTGCTATCTGCATAGACCAGCCGGTTAAGTCCAGAACATCAACGACAGCCTCTGCAATATGAATCATTATATTTCAAACATACTGAGTTTATATACCAAACAAACTTACCACATCGTATCAATAAAATAGAAAATAACATTTGTACAAGAGTTAGCCAACTGTAGCTGTGAATGTGAGAGATTGTAATTAATAAACTAGGGATAATTCACAAAAATGGTAAATCGTATAATAATAGTCTTTAGATCAAAATAAAGCTTATAATAAGAGAGACATGGATATGAGTAGTTTACTTGTTTAGCGATTATACGATAAAAAAATATATACACAGTATTGGTTCATAAATAAACCCCAAAGTTACAATTCATTTTATGTATCGGGGCATAGCACACCTCCCCTTTTTTGAAAGATCCGGAGTTGATATCCGGATGCGAATCGACAAAGCAAGAGCAGTTTATCTACAATTGAAGAACATCTGGAATTCGAAACAATTGTCAACCAACACCATCATCAGAATTTTCAATACAAATTTCAAAACAGTTCTATTGTATGGTGCGCAAATATGGAGAGCTATGAAAGTTTTCATCGAGAACATACAGGTATTTATTAGCGTTTGTCTACGCAAAATAATTCAGATCTGTTGGCGAATAATATGGAGACTAACCAGATTACTGTCTGCAATAATAAGCGATATTTAACTCTATTTAGTCAATGAAGTCGGTACAATTAATGAAGAAGACTAATAACGTAACGGTGAGATTATAATTTATAGACGAACCAATCACGTATAAGATAACAGTTCTTGGATTTTAGAGCGAAATTCATTCATCCATTTCGTCAAATAGCACTTTAGTATTATAACTGACATCAATACATAGTGAAAACATTGAATCTAATTCCTAACCCTTACCATCAACTGTAACTCATAATTCTAATTCTTCACATTGGTTTATAACCCTCATTTAGTTCTAGTAAGTAGGTGGATATAATCTCATTGAGAAATTTATTCAGTTGACATTCTTACTTTAATGAATTTGAAAAGATTGAGTAGTTAAACTCATTCTATTGCACAAGCAGATGGCTATCACAACTCAGTAGTTAAGTGGATAAAGTGATGGCATTTGAAGCGAAAGGTACTGGGTTCGAGTCCCAGATTGAACATCAAATTTGAAATGTAGGCACATCCAGCTGACGAATCCCAAATAGGACGAAGTGACGCTCGTCAAACTGGATTCCACTACTAGCCACTATCCATCTTTGCTTACAAAGATTGAATAGTTGTAAAGTTCGAACACGTGTGTTTGAAATATGCCACTTAGAATAAAATAAGATTCTGGTCAAATGAATGAAAAGACCAAACTAGTTGGTTATTTCAATTGATTACCAAAGTATTAGAACAAGAAGCAAAACTTGCAGTTTCAGAACGGAAGGGTTTATTTGATTGAAAAGATGTCCAGGATAGATGTAAGAAAGTTTATAAACCACTTATAGACTTGTAGATTAGATCTATATTATATGAAACATTATTCACTCCACTAGGCATATAAAGAGAACCTTTATCCAAAAGATAGTTCGGTTAACATTCTGTAAATACCTTCTAAAGTTACTTTGATATAAAAATGGTATATAATGTCGGCTGGATGTGCAAAAAGGAAGCTTCATATTATACTTAACCACTTCATTATTTCAATGTGAAAGGTAATTCTCCGAAATAAGGTAACACACTTGATACTGTTACACTTTAGCCAACAAGTTCAAGCAGTTTAATAGGCAAATGTTCACTCATATTTTAGCGGACAAGTAGACGAGTGAGGACAATCAAATGTATTCGAACACAGAATTACAGAAAATCCGAGTAAAATCTTACAACCATACAATGAACAGTGACCGGTCAAAGGCCGTGAGTGACCGGCCTCAAGCAGTTGTCCCTTGGACACTGCGGTCACGCTCCCAGGTCATTAAGACCAACACTAATCCAACTTCCTTTTCAAGTCCCTCAGGAAATACCCTTCCAGGGTGTGGGCAGCTGGGAAGTGATATTAGCCTTCATACCCGTTACTGGACGGTGAAATTGAAAACTATCAATCAGTTGTCCCGATTTTGACCGTTCCTTCTGCAAAAATCAGTTCCATCCCCGTTCTTTCCTTGTCGATCTTCTGCCGAAATACATTCTCTGCCTGACCATCACCATATACTACCTGTGTGGATATAAGTAGACCACACTACAATATGATCAAACCAAACATACAAAAACTTTAATCTATGAATTCACTATCGCTAACCCAAATAATAAAGAATCTTCTTTCAATGCGTTACTATAACTACGTTGTAAGAATATACTAGATATATTATCTATAAACTGCAGCTGCAACCATATATGTATTGTATGGAACCTATATGAATATTCATTTCTAGTAAACAGATCAAGAGTAGCTACTTTTGTATTATTATTGATGTGAACCGCGAAACAAGAAGCCTTAACAAACTATGGAAGCTATTTTTCGGGGGGACGTTATTTCATTTCATTCAAAGCTTTTATTACAGTAACATTTACTTTTGTCCCTAGTCTATTCTACAGAGCATAAGCTTTCGTTTGATGTATGATTCACTGCCATAGTCTTTTCTGTTCCAACGCTATTGTAATTCAAAACGTAACCTTTTGTAATCTAGTTTCTACACTAATCCCCTAGTTTTGGACATAATTGTATTTTCCTAATTATTGTACGTTGTCGTCAGGTTATTCATCTATTTATTCATGTATCTTTTTACACTAATCTGAATTCGGGATTCCAGTGCCTGATCGGGATTGAAATAAAGCGTATAGTGTTCCAGTTGTCCTTGTCTTCTCTCTCGCGCGCGCTTGCCTCTCAGTCAGTCAGGGATAAAATAGTTTTCTTCTCGCTTTCCCCACTTCGAACTCACGCATACTAGCCTAAAGGTTAAGCCAGTCAGCCTATCGCGTCAAAGTTTGAATATACATTAGACAAGTTATACTCGGCACGGAAATGGGTAGACAGATCAAGGACGTAACAATTATTATTATTATTATTATTATTAATGGTTTTAATCAATATCTTATTTTCATACTTGAAAGCGTGAGTCAATTGAAGCTAGACCACCATCGAAAACCTGCAAGCACTGATTGACGGCCGTTTCGTCCTATTATGGGACTCGTCAGCAGTGCGCATCCATGATCCCGCCTCGCGGGCGAGACTCGAACTGAGGACCTACCAGTCTCGAGCCAGAATACTTAACCGATAGACCACTGAATTTGCCGACATCCGACGGTGTTAATTTCTAACTTCAACTGATCCACGAAGTTGAGCAATTATTCACCAATCGTCTTCAGTGAGTTCCTATCTCACAACAGACGTGGTTTGAACTCCACAAGTTTAAATCTCCACAAAAGCCCTTCTGATAATTTCTTATTTTCTGGTACAGTATGGAATTCTAAACACAAAAGTATTTCAATAAATTTCTGTTTCCTATATCTTGATCGATTCTGACGATAAATATTTGAAGCAA